GCACAACATACAGCAGCATTGTGGCAAGCACGTTGTGTAGTCTCCTGCATATTCCAACAGAGAGGTACTCATTCATCGATATTCAAATGAAGAATTTTGCCAGTACCGGTCCCAAGCCCTAATGAGCAAAACTTAACGGCGGGGACCGTGGAGACTTTCCCGTACAACTTAGCTAAATATCTTTCATAGTATTGCCGTCATCGAACATTACACCGGCTCGTTGGTCGCCAGGGTTACCAAAGGTCGAGCAGGCAATTGGAGAACTGAGGTAGTCTACAAAAATCAGTGACCAGAACCTGTTCCAGGTCGTAGCAGCACGACAAGGAAGACATCAGTGAAGAAAGGAGCCATTACCAATGCTGAATGGGGGAGGCAGACAACGTGATGCCATCACAGCATTTCGAACTGGGTTCTATGGAAACGATAGAGACAGTGGGAGCTTACAGTCAGAAATTAGAATATATCCTCATTCAGAGGGAAAGTGCAGAGTTAGTTGATGCGAGACACCAACTGATGCGTTTGCTTGCGTGACCCTAAAAAACAAGCGGCGATGGAAGTTGAACTGAACTGAAATGAACAAAGACGAGTGATCTGAATTGCTGGATGCTGTGAAATGTTTAAAACACGACGCAGGCCATCGAATATGGCAGCTACAAATGTAACAAGGCTAAGCGGTCTGCAATCTAAGGCGAGAATATTCCAAGGTGATCCAGACCGCGATCTATCGTTGGGTTGTTTTTCGTGTGCCTGGTCAAGAGAATTCACTTAGAAAGATTCTCTGCAGCATCATCATCATTTGTGTAAACCATTGCAATTGCAACCTTACGATCTGGAGAAGGAAGCGACTCACAATAAAGGCAACCTCGAACCGTCGTATTCTGTACCTTATCGAGTCTTGTCACAGCAGTGACCCTTCATCACGGTGGGAGTTTAGATTTTAAGATCCACGGTAAACAAAGGAAATCCATTTTTAACCAATCAAATTCACCTCCTGCAGTGGCTTCATCTAAGATGTACTTCGAGGAGTCAGTCCACACATGGCTGCAATTATGGATTAGTTGGTGACTCTGGATCTAAGGAAGGTGGAAACACGAGAACGCCATAATCTGCCTTAATAAATCATATCTGAATAATCCAGGCAAACACGTAAACTTCGGTCATTAACATATTAGCCTTATGTATAAGTAGTTTAAGTAGTGTGTCAAGCGGTACTGAAGGGAAAGTTACTTGCCTTCAAATCAATCTAACTTGCTAACTCACCTTTCATCTATGATTAATAGTGCCGGATATGGACTGATTAAGGTCACAGATACGCATGACTGAATTAAAGTTCCTTTAAAGAGGTGCAAGATTCGTGACAAAGTCATTGACGAAACCCTCACTTGTAAGCTGCTCCTATTTCAAACAGCAATCATAACTGCGATGGTTTAGCCACATCGTCAAGCTGTCAAAAGGCAGCAGATGTAAACAAGACAGATGCCCCTTATCAAGTATTCAGATGGTTAGGTTCTTACCATGGAACTTGTCTGTCTGCCTGACAGAAGGTCAGAGCAATGGGACAAGCTTCCTGAAGCAGTAGTATCACAGATCAGTCACGTCAATAGTG